GCTTTTTTTTTTCTCTTTATAGCATTTTTTTTTAATTGGTCATTTTTTGGTTTCGTTTTGCATTTTGTTCTTGGTTTGGCTTTGTCTTGCTCTATTTTTTGTTTATTTTTTTTTCCTTTTTTCTTTGTTTTTTTTTTTGTATTTTTCTTGTGTTTTTTTTTTTTTTTTATTTTTTGGTTCTTTTTTGTTTATTTTTAATATATTCTTTTTTATTTATGTTTGTGGGGAGGAGTTGGAGGATGGAGGGGAGGGTGGTGCTGGTGGGGGAGGTGGTGGTGGTGGTGGTGTCGATGAGGGGGGCGTCGGTGTAGATGCGGGTTGCGGAGCGGAGAAGGGGGGCCAGGAGAACCCCGGGAGGCGTTGATGTCGCCGCTTCGTCGGCGTTGAAGACGTCTTCGGCGGCGCGGAGGCCGCTCCAGGGGCCGGACCACTGCTCGGCGATGGGGTCCTTGGGACGGCAGAAGAGGTGGAAGGTGTATTCGCCGAGAGAGGGGCCTGTTTTGCGGATGACGGCGAGGGACTGCGGCTCGGAGAAGCCGGTTAGGTAGAGGAAGTTGGATTCTTGCCGGAAGGGGTAAAAGACGGCGCCGGAGCGGTACTTGACTTCGGCCGAGGGGAGCACGGCCACGCCGCCCTCGGGCAAGCTGAAGGCGAGCTTGGCGCGGCGGTCGGCATATTCTTGGGCGGTGATGCCGGGTGTTACTGGAGTGGTAATGGGTCGTTTAGTTTATGATCACATATTATAGGTCGTAGCTCAGCGGGAAACAGTGAAACAAAGGCAAACACACACACCTTCACCAGGTTTCAAAAGGTGCGGATGCGTCTCATAAACGGGTTGGCCAAATTCGAGTTCGGCTGCTGAAATCGATGTTGCATAGCCCCGGCTCCATGCCCTTCCTCGGGGTAATACTCTGGTAGAAGTCCGGAGAGGTGTATGTATTTGCCGCAGAGCGGACCTGAGGAGCCTCATCTCGACGGATTCGGTTGTAGTGTGTAAGTGAGCGAGCGAGAATATGGCAAACTGAGAGTTTGCTGATGACCCACAAAGTATCTTTTCAGTTTTGTATGATTTGGTATTGTAAATACAGTATGTGCTGGTGATGGCCTTGTACATTCTATTCGTAGCATTCACGCCTGACTTTCTATTGCTGTATGCATGCGATTTGTTATCAGAATGGGCTAAGAGGAGGATAGAACTATTCTTTTTCTTTTTCTTCTTTTTTGTCTACCTCAAAATTTGGATTTTTGAGTGCCGGGAGCTCACTCTCTTCAATCGGAAATTTTACTTGACCTCCGTCGATTGTCAGCTCGTGCCAGTGCCAGCGAGTGGCAGGGCACCCAATTGGGGACGTTGCTGTGAGCGACAGGACACCCTTGCTGGCAGCCGCGCCTGTGGGGCCAAAGTTTGTTGTGCTGCTCGAAGCAGGCTTAGCTCGCGGGAGGAGCCCGAGCTCCCGCGCCAAAAAGGTCTTTCCGTCAAAACTGACCTGGAACTGACCTGGAACTGATTTGAGGACTGGATCCAGGAGCACCACTCATCGACAAAAGACGCCTCTAGGACGCCTTCTTGTATGGAACACGGACTTGCGAGCCGCATGTCGTGACCAATTGTCCATTCCTGCTTGCTGCACCGACCTCTCCAACCGTTTTCTCGGTGCGCAACGCGCAGGAGCTGTCGTTGGCAAGGGACGCGTTTTTGGTGCACGCCCACGCCCACGCCAGCTCGCGTGTGCTTGGTCGCTGTTGCCAGGCGCCCCATCCCAGCACCCTCCCCATCCCAACCCCTCCCCTCTCTCCTCCGGTTCCTGCCCGTCCGCCAGGCCACCCAAGCCAGCCGCACCTCGACTGCTGTCCGCCAAAATCAAGCTTGGGTGTGGCATGCCTGACAGGTTATTTGTATGACGGCAGTATTTCTATCTTCCAGTTTCACCCCCAGCTCTCTCGGCCATGTCGACCAAGAGGATCCCCCTCTCCGCCAGCAACCCTAATGTGGCCAATTCGCCAATGCGAGCCCTTGCGGGCATCAATGGCCTCAAAAAGGGTCGCTTGCATGCGGACACGGTGCGGGAGGAGCCTTATGGCCAGCCTCCGCCGGCGAAACGCCAGATGATCGAGCGTGGGGTGGCCTCGCCGTCACGACCCAAGACCCGAACCATCGTCCACCGAGCGGCGGGGGCGGCGACGCGGACGACGGCGAGCACTGCCACGACACAGAGGGCGTCCGTTGCTTCTCTGATTCCTGCGACCGAGGAGGAGTTGGCGAACCTGCGGACCTGGCACAACCAAATCCGCAGCCGGTTCCCAAAAATGGTTTTCTATTTCGAGGGCATCATCGAAGACGAGCTTCGGGCCAAGCTCGCGAAAAAGATTGGCCGCTTGGGTGCTGTAAGTCTTCCGGATCGTGCTGTAGCTATCTTGATCTGCCAAACTGACCATCCATATGTTGTAGCACGAGGAGAAGTTTTTCTCTATCAACATCACCCACGTCGTCACGAACCGGCCCATCCCACCAGAAAAAACCAAGGGCGAACACGAAGGAGAGACGGATCCCCACGGCGACAACGAGCAGCCCAAGACGATTGACCCTTCGCTTCTCAACCGGCCCGCAGATCCGACTAGGAGGAAGTTGACATATGACACGGCGCCTGTAAGCCGAAAACCTTCGGTCCTGAATCAGGATGACCCCCTCGGGCGGCCTAAGACGCGTAGCACCGATGTCCTGGACCGGGCTCGCGACATGGGCAAGAAGATATGGTCGCTGGAAAAGCTGACCAAAATTCTGGAACTTGCCTTGTACCCGAACCGGTACATTAATACACGGGGCCTTGGCACAATGCAGAGCACCAGCAAGGCAGCTGACGGCGAACGCAACTTGGCTCGGCTTCTGGAGCACGAACGCGAGCATGGCCCCACAGATCGCGATCTCACCGTGTCGAGCAATGACTTGGTGAAGTTCACGGGTCCTTACATCTACGTGTACGACCTCGAGGAAAAGACCAAGCCTATCATGATCAAGGAATACCGGAAAGCTGCCGACCCCAAGGACCAGGAGTGGCCGCAGTTCCGCGTCACGTCGCAAGGTCGATGTCCGTTTGTCCTTGATGAGAGTCACGATCACCCTGAAAAGGAGGTTCGAACCAGAACGCGGGCTGCCAAGGTCGCTGGTGAGGCAGCGGAGCCGGCGGCGCCAAAGCACAAAGCGTCCGAGATTCTGTTGAAGAACACGGCAGGCAAACGCACCTTGGCCGAGATGGAAGATGGGCACAATAGAGGAACCGCGGGTACTCGGTTGACCGAGTCGTTCGACCGGTCCAAAATCGCGAATCCCCCTTCGCTGGAGTTCCGTTCCCAGAACGCGTTTATCAGCCATGCCAAGGCCGGCCGTTTCCTGGCCGGTGAGCCCGTGGCATCGGGTCTGCAGCCATCCAACGTCACGTCAGCGATTCGGTCGCAAATGATATCGTCCACTACGGGTGGCGTGTTGGGAGCGAAGGCCGGGACGAGCAAGGAGATCCACGGCCTTCAGCGGAAGGTTGTCATATCCCAGGATCCAAGCTCTCGCCGGATGGTCGAGTTGAGCCATGATAACGGCACGTTTGTCCGCTCAACCAGCTTCAGTCAAACAATACAGCGGAAACTTGACCCAGTCCACGAAGAGGGGACGTCAAGACAAAGAGAGAAGCTGCGCCGCACCGCCAGCGTCCCGGTGCCCCAGGCGAGGAAGCGTGATCTTAAGCCCGGCTACTGCGAGAATTGTCAGGACAAGTTTGCTGATTTTGAAGAGGTGAGTGCCGTGTCCTCTTTGTTTCCTCGCCAGATTTGACTAACTCGCTATAGCATATTCTCTCTCGCAAACACCGCAAGTTCGCCGAGGACGACAACAACTGGGTGGATCTAGACAACCTCCTATCTCAACTCGCGCGTAGGCCCCGATATTGAACATCCGCTGTAACAAGTCGCATGCGCCCGACACGTCTATCAATAGCCATTTTTGTGAATTGCCCATCGACCGCTTGCTCGGCACGCTACTTCTTTGCCCACGGCCTGTACGGTCCTGCACTTCCTTCTTGTCCGGGCTACCTTGTGATCAACCATGTTACAACCAGCTTCACATCACGCCTCGCTACGCCGCATTGGACCCAACATCTAGCATCTAGCATGAGGAAATGGAGTCGATTGAGTCAGCGAGTACATATTTCGACGCATTTTTAAGGGGGTCGGCGCGGATGGGGGACGGCGTTCTCTGCTTTTTTGGGGGCTGTCCATCTGTTATTCTTTCTGTTTTGTTTTGGCTGGTCGCCGTTGTGGCGACCAGGACAGGAAAGGAGGGACGATTCCTGGTCGGTCGGGCATGAAAGGGTAGACGGTTCTTGAATGCTAAAGCAAGCATGGGGCTGATGCATTGCGGTCAGGCGGCGGCCTTTTGAGGGGCCTATCATCGGTCCAAGGGGTACAAACTTGTCGGGTGTATTGTGCTGGTGGATGAGCAAAGCGTGGGTGGGTGTGGGCTCAGCACATTGCCGCCGACTATATTACGCTTTTTACATGTGTATAGTGTATGTTAGGATTATGAGGAACGTTACCCATCCCTGTTTGTGAAGGCTGCGTTCGGTGGCTCCTGGGTTGTCATGTCTCAACGCTACCGCGGGCAGTCGGTACTAACGAGGTGCCTGCCTCGAGTTCCCATGTTTTCTCATGGGCGAGCAACAAACATCACGGGCCGTATCCCGTCGTCCGCCGACCCCCATCCTTTCTACAAGATCCTTTTCACCAGCGAATCCCCCGTCCCCTCCAGCAGCCATCTCTGACCCATCAGAATCTAGCCCTATTTTCTTGTTTTCTTGCGGCATCAAACGACTACTAAGCGCCCACGCCTAAGATATCCCATGGTGTCCAAGTCCAATTCGCGGGCAGGAAGAAGGCGCTTCGCTTCTACTCGCCGCATGTACCGGTTCTGGATCAAGCTCCCGGAACCAGCTGAGAAAGACGCCAATCCCCTGTTGACGTTCGGCATCATGGGTGCGGAACGGGCTGCGTAAGCGTTCTTCCACTCTTATTGACGGCCGAAGCGCCGGGCTAACGTGTGATTGTGCCGTTGCAGATACACACTCTTGATCAAACCAGCAGAGCGACGCTCAGATGTCATCGTTCGCGCGATTGCTTGCACCTACCCGCCAGCCGCCGAAAAGTTCCGCAGCAGAAACGACATCCCCATAGCGTATACCAGCTACGACAGTAGGGAGCTGCGATTCCTGAGCCACCAGCCTCGACCAACCATCAACTGACACATACAGGAATCCTCCAAGACCAGGAAATCAACGCAGTCCTCATCTGTCTCCCACTCGACTTGCGCTACGAGTGGGCCTACAAGGCTCTCGCAAGCGGTAGACACGTCCTGCTCGACTCACCCGGCACCGGCAACCTCCGAGACATGTTCCTCCTCTATTGCGACTATAAGGAACTCTATAGCACCTTTCTGGCGCCCCCCGTCCTCCTCAAGGCCTCCCCATACCTCTTCCACCCGAGCTGGCAAGAGTTTGAAAGCAAGCTTGACAGGCCCAAGCTCGTGAAAGTCACCGTCAACATCTTGCTACCAACGACAATCACAGAGGACAAGGAGGCCCGGTTCCGGTACGAGCACGCGGGCGGCTGTGGCATGGGCGTGATGCACGCCATGTCGCTGTTGCGCGACGTATTCGACCGCGCCCCAATTGCATGCCTGCGCAGCGAGATCAGCAACGTGGGCAAGCCCTAGGACGGATACACACACTACGACATCACCTGGAAGTTCCCGCGCGGCGCCATCGGCGAGGTGAGAGGCAGATCCCGGATGTCGATGCGCGGGGGCTATCCCCACGGCTCCACGGCAGCGGGCGTCACCATCGACGCCCTCCACCGCGCCGACCACCCCAACCCGCCGCCCGGGCAGCGGGTAATCGAAGAGCGCACCGTCACGCTGCGCTACTCGCGGGGCGGCCCGTCCCACCACGTCATCCGCGTGCGCACCGACCGCGAACACAAGAACGCCCGCAACGGCCGCACTCTCCAGCGCAGCATCACCACCCAGACGCACAAAGCCTACGAGCCCCGCCGCAACCCGAAGCAGCTCCCGCCCGTGCCGCAGCCCAAGGCCGACTGGACCGCCCCCATGTACCAGCTCGACGCCTTCGTCCGCCGCGCCCGCAACCCCCTGCCCCCGGGCATCGAGCCCCTGCACCCCCCCCCTTGGGTCGAGGCCGACGCCGCCTGCGGCCTGGTCGTCATGATGGAGCATGCGTTTCGCATCGCGAAGATTCGCCCCGACCCGCCGGGCGTGTTTTGTGGGGGCCTGAACTTGGCCCGGGTAAGGGCGCAACGCTCGGCGGAGGAGTAGAGCTCGGGTCGGGCGTGGCGGAAGGGGCCGGTTCTGAGGCGGAGTTCGGCGCGGGGGGAGGGTTTGGGTCAGGCGCAGGGGCAGGGTTCGGTGGAGGAGCAGGGCCCGGCTCGGTCGCGGAGCGCGTCTCTCGTACAGAGCTCGTCCCTGCCGCCACCGGAGGTTTCGGCCCCGAAGCAGAGTTTGGCTCGGGAGCAGAGTTCGGCTCGGGCGCAGCCGCACGGTTTGGTTCAGGAGAACACCGCGTCCCAGACGCGGCCGCCGATCCCGAGGCGAAATCCGGCTCGCGCGCAAAGTTCAGCTCAGGGGCGGGGGCGGGGTGGTTCGGTTCAGGCGCAGAACGCATCCCAGACGCGGCCGCCGATCCCGAGGCGAAATCCGGCTCGGAGGCAGAGTTTGGCTCGGGCGCAGAGCTCGTCTCAGGTGCAGAGCTTGTCTCAAGGGCAGAGCTCGCGTCAGGTACGGAGCTTGTCCCAGCCGCAGGTTCTGGTTGCGGGGCAGAGTTTGGTACGGGGGCCGAGTTTTGTGCAGGCACAAAGCTCGTCCCGGGAACTGAGTTCGTCCCAGCCGCAGCTGCAGATTCAGGTCCAAAGACAGAGTTCGACTCGGGGACCGAGTTTCATCCAGGCGCAAAGCTCATCTCAGGCGCAGAACTCGTCCCGGGCACGGAGCTCGTCCCAACCGGAGGTTCCGACCCCAAGGCATTCTTCGGCTCGGGAGCGGGGTTTGCCCTTAACACCAATGCCGCCAATACCGCTGGTGCCGCCGGTGCCGCCGGTAACGGTGGGCGGGCCTTCCCGGGGCGAAAGCTCGTCACAGGCACAGAATACGGCTCGGGTACAGTTTCCGACTCGGGAACGGATAGCGGCCCCCGTGCAAGACCGTACTCGGAGGCAACAGCCGGCTCCGGAGCCAGGCCGGACTCGGTGGCGGGGGCGCTTTCGAGGGCCTGGGATGATTTAGCGCCAGGGGTTGAGCTTGACAAGCTGGCCAAACCAACACCATGCAATAGGGGTAAGGGGCATTGTTCTGGTTTGCATCTCCATCAGTGTGACGGGCTGGGTGAGCGTTATGAGGTAGCAAAACGAATCCCGTGGGGAAGCAAGCTGGCGAGAAATGGCATGCTAGCGTTTAATATGTGATCCATACAATAGCAAACCTTAGACCAGCAACTTCTGCTATTTTATATCTTAGAGATCCGACAATTTGTTGTGATCAAGGGGGTTGAGAAGCATTGATGTCAGCTCCACATGACTTATGAGTTGGAGCCCCTGACATCAGAGCCCAGTTCCACCTCTTCCTTTTCTCCTTCCAACACCTGAACCAGTATTTTCCAACTTGGCGGGCCCATTTCTACCTTATTGTCTGTCTCCCTGGATTGATGAAATAGAATCGAAGCACGGCCGTACTGTTGCAAGCTCGACATCAAACTTGAAACATCACGGCGCTTGGCTGGGATTTTGACCGTTTCCAAGCCGGGTAATTGATCCGTCGCTGAGGCCACTTGTTTGTTCACAGCCCGGGCCCTTATCTACATGGTTTTTCTCAAAAGTGATTTGAATCAAGTCTCATATCTTGAATCCTCCCCTTTCTAGACGTTTCTCTACGCCATCTCCTTTGGCCCCTGACTTGGGCTAGGACTCCGCCAACAAACAACCAACAACATACTCACCCCCCCCCCTAACCCAACACACCTACGCCTAAAACCCACCCAAAAGAAACAGGGCCAAAAGACCAACCATGGAAATCTACACCCTCAACCTCACAATCCTCCTCACCCTCTGCCTAGCCCTCTTCATCCTCCAACAACTCAAACGCCAACCTCCCCCTCCCCCAACAACCACCACCACAACCACCACCACTACCACCCCCCCTCAACCAAACCACCCAAACAAAAAGCCCAACCCCGAGGCCAAGCCCAAAATCCAACCTCAAAAGCACCAGCGGTCCGCGGCGGCGAACGGTTGGCCCGGCTCCAACTGACAGGGGGGTCCCGAAGAAAAGGTATAAAGAGAAAATTAATTTTGAAAGGGGAGAATTCGTACCGACGCGGGGGAGGTGGAGGGTCGATGGGCAAAGAGTACCCGAATCAGCAGGGAGAAGTAAGTAGCCGAGAGTGATAAAAAAGGGCGAAGTGCAGGAACGCAAGGGAGGGTGATGTGCGGAAATGGTA